GGAGGCCGGCGCTCTTCCTGCGGTTCCCTGTTTGGATTCTGAGAGTTCGCGAGTGATGTCAGGGCGCTTATCTTCGGTGCTGGTTAAACTATAACTCTGCTGGGCCTAGAATTATAACTGAGATGGCTTTTCAAACCGCCGTACTATATGGGACAGGGACCAAGGAATAGAGTTTTATCTAAGTTCAAATGAGTCTAATCTTGTCCCGAACTGATGTCTGATTTAAATCCCTCTAGCTGTGCGCTCCAGACACGTAGTGCGCTTTCCTGCCCTTTCCCAAGCCTTCTCTGAAGGCTGGCGTTACGAGAAAACGTTGCAGTGTATTGCAGTGTATTGCAGTTGCTCTGCTCCTTTAAAAATCTGAGGTGGGGGGGAGGGGCGGGGGCGGGGGCGGGGGAGCTAGTTCCTTTGTTAGATTCCCATCCACCTGCCCTTGGGCCAAGATGCTGGGGTGTGGCATCCCTCGGAAGCAATCTCTGGGTCTGCAGACAAGTCTCACTTGGAGGCCCCAGCAGGAAATTAAGGGCACGGTCCCAGTGGTGGCCTCAGAGCTCTGGGGCCCTGGGGCAGCTGCCGAGGCTGTTGTGTGGGTACCGGACCTCCCAGCACCAGGAGGGGCATCTTCGCAGGTGTGTTTGAAGTGCCTGGCTCTGAACTGTCGGCCGCTATTATCATTCATTCGTCCCTTCCTTCCGTCATCTTCAGCAAGCTTTTGTAAAAAATGTATCCAGTGCACCAGATCCTCTGTTAGGCACATAAAGAGGCAGAAAGAAAGTTCACGATGATAGTTAAACGTAGCTGGAAATGCCCTCTGAAGTCCTCCCGTGGGCTTAGTGAACCACAGGGGAGACGGATGCCGCCGAAAGGAGCCCCGTGAAGCGGGGGAGGTGCCAGGGAGTAGGAAGTCCTCCTCTGCTAGGAAGCCCTGCTTCTGTCTCCCTCTCCACGCTCCATCCCGAAGGAATGATTCCTAACCTGGAAGTGCTATTCCAGGGAAGCACCTGCCCACCTCCTCTTGAATAGACATGAGCCCATTAAGCTTATTTCCTGACACCTGAGACATCTTAAAAAGGAACCATTTAAATCAAACAGCATGTTAAACATTCAGGAACTTTCTAGATAATACAATGGACACATGGGAATCTTCCCCCCCCACCCCCAAGAAAAGAAAAACATTAAAGGCCTCAAAAATAGCCCTCAAAGACTAATTCCTGGGTAGTGTCTTTATAAGATCCTGTTTTCCTGTGATGGCTAGTTTAACTCTAGAAAGAAAATTTGTAAACTTCACCTTGATGTGACAAGTTACTTAGTAATTTTTACCTAATATCTACGCAAAAGGAAGCAATGAATTTGCCAGAAAATTTGGGATCTATCCTTATCTACAGGTATTCCCTGCATTTGCACTAAAATGAAGAGAGCTACATGCAAAAGGCTCGAGAGTAATGCAGAGTTGGTTTTGCCCATTCATTTCCATTTTGTGCCCTTCGGTAAGCATTTCTGTGGCGCCTGCCCGGCACTGGAGGAGCATTCATGAGTGTCGGCTGGAAAGGAGGCTGGAAAAGTGGTCCACCTCCCTGGCTGGGGAGACGAGAGGTGCCTTTGTGAGCAAGTAGGAGAGGACGTGGTTCCAGCCACACGGGCCGTGTGCAGAACTTGACCCTCCGGCTTCTCCTGGCTGCCCATCTGGCCCTGCACAGGGGCGACGGCTGCCAAGCTCATGTCAACAGGCTAGAGCTTGCGAGGGTCCAAGGGAAGCTTGGCTCAGCTGGGCAGGCTTCAAGCCATGAGTAGGGGCAGGAAGTGAGCCCGCCTGTCAGGGGAGAAAGGGCAGGTGACGGAGACACCAAGGAGGCTGTGGACAAGGGCTACAGGTGAGGGGTCACACAGTTAGCCCTTCGTAGCCATGGTCCTGCATCTGCAGAGTCAGCCAACCGTGGATCAAAAACGTGGGAAGAAAATTCCAGAAAGCTCCAAAAAACAAAAGTTGAATTGGCTGGGTGCAAGCAACTGTTTACATAGCATTTAATTATGTTTACAAGTATGTACATTGTATGAGGTGTTATAAGTAATCTAGTGGTGATTTAAAGTATGCAAGAGGATGTGTGTAGGTAACAAACAAACACTTGCTCCATTTTTTATAAGGGACTTGAATATCTACGGATTTTGGTTAGGGGGGTGGCAGGGAGAGGGGGTCCCGGGACCAGCCTCATGGGTACCAAGGGGTGACTGTACATCTGAGAATTCACTATGTGTCAGGCACTGTGCTGGGTAGTTCTCAAGTATTCTGTCTTTCTTTCTCTTCCAGCCTTGATTCTGATTACAGCAGTTATGGAGGCAGCCAGGGAGGGGGTAGGGAGTGGCACCTTGTATCCATAAAAGCAAATTCAATATCCATGTGATTTCAATTTAAAAAAGAGAAAATAAAACAGGACCAAAACCTTCACTGGTAGTGAATCATGTATGATGGTCCAGGAGAGCGTGATGAGAGCCCTGGGTCCTGGGGAGGTGGCGCCCCAGACGCGCTGGCGCGGGGAAGGCGATGCCAGGCAGGTGGGGTCGGCCTTCCCGAGCAGGGTGTAACCAGATCGCGGCCCGATGGCGGGGCTCCTGCTGTGTCACTGGCCTCTTCTATTTGTTCAGCTGAGTTTGAAACTTGAGTAACTGGATGGAGATAAGGTAGTAAGTCAGCACCTAGTTATGTCTTCATCTCTTCCCCTTTTCGTCCGTGGAGCAGGTAGACTCTGGTCACTGATGTTACCGGGTGCAAGTCACTGTGTCCGTGGAGGGCAGTCCGTCCGCAGACAGGCTCCAGCTCGGAGGCCGTCGCGTACGTGACACTGCACCCTGCGCTGGGGCGCCCGCCCTCTGTCTGATCCCCGCCGCGCCCTCCAGGGGAGCCCGCTGAGCACCCACCCCTCACCGCACGGCCCCGTGTTGCAGGGCATGAACTACCTGGAAGACCGGCGCCTGGTGCACCGAGACCTGGCGGCCAGGAATGTGCTGGTGAAGACGCCGCAGCACGTCAAGATCACGGATTTCGGGCTGGCCAAACTGCTGGGCGCTGAGGAGAAAGAATACCATGCGGAGGGGGGCAAAGTAAGGAGCAGGCCTGTAAAGGGCGAGCACGGTCCTGCCAGCAGGCTGACCCGTGTGGGGGCCATCCTCGGGACCTGCTGGGTGAGCTCACGGCTGCCGCCAGCACCTGGGTCCAGCCAGGCTCTTCTGGCCGTGCAGCCAGAGCTGCCCGGGGAGCAGGACTTGCTGGGAAGGTGCGTAAAGATGTTTCTGACACACCCAGAAGCCAGAGGCGGTACACGTGAGTTCAGCTCCATCGCTAGGTGACCGTTAGCCAAGGGTAGGTGTCAACCTCCCACTCCTGGGTAAAGCCCCTCTCAGAAGAACAGCTGGGAGAGCGGCACGGAAAGGGCCCCGTGTTGTTCCAGCAGCTCCCGAGGGGCGCTGGCCGCCACCGCATTGGCTTCTTCCTCTCGGACGGGCCTGGGGCTTCTCCAGGGGGCTGTCCCAGCAGCGACGGGTGCGGGTGTCCTGATAGGCCCTCCAGAACGCTCTGGCTCAGCTGCTCCCGTCTTCGCTCTCACTGTGGCCTGCACGGCTCCAAGCAGCTAGCCCTGCACACAGCCACAGATGCAGGGCACAGCCAGGGCCGCCAGCTGCCAGCACGTGCACCCAGCTCAGCAGAACAGCCCATGGACCAAAGGGCCTCAGCTCTGGGCCTAACAGAGGCCCTGTTCTCTACCAGACTAAAACCTCTCCCCCCGGCTGGGAAGGTGCACTGGGCCTGGGTTGTTGCTTGTAATTTATTCCAGTGTGTTTTACTTTGTTTTCAACAGAGGGGAGCTAACTGTTGCCTTCTTACTTTTCTCTCTCATCATCCCAAGGTGCCTATCAAGTGGATGGCTTTGGAATCAATTTTACACCGAATTTATACCCACCAGAGTGACGTCTGGAGCTACGGTGAGTCGAAATCCCGAGGCTGATGAATCAGGGCTGAGGCTGCACTGGCTTTTGTTGTTCATGCACATTATCCGCTCTGCCGTCCAGGACAGTGACTTAACAATCACATAATCACCACTGTCTGTTGTACTAGAAAACGTGAAAAAGGAAATTGAGTCCAACTCCCATACCAAGTGTCACTGGAGAGAACAGTGAGCTTGTCAGGAGAGTGGGTAGCGGGAGGGAAGGAACTTGAGCCTAGGAGACGCCTGTACCCCCAAATCAAACCAAACGTGAGCTGTTGCCGTGAATTGGAAGTGAACCAAAGGGAGATGACAAATCAGGTTTCATAGGGAAGAGTTTGCCGGTAGAGAAATGTGGTTTTATGATGGACTAACTCGCGGTGGTTTTGGTTTCATATGGTGAGTGGTCATCTTTGTGTATCAGAGAGAATGGCTTCAGGAAATGCACTGTGAGGGTGTGTTTGTGGGGAAATGTGAGGAAAGGGAAGTAGTTACTGTTTCCAGCTCTCGTGAAGGCCGTCTCGTCGGGGTCCGATTCTTCTTCCTTCAAAGCCCACACAGCCCTGTGCTCCATCCTCTGACGGGCTTCCCTGTGCTCAGACACACCTTGCACGCTCTCGCCTCGTCCTCTGTACAGAGCATTTCCTGAGTCCGCAGGGGCCTTGCCTTTCAGGAAGGCATTTCCACTGGCTGCTGTGCTGGGGTGCTTCCACCTCTGTTACCGCAGGGAGTCCTCCCTGTCAGCCAGAATCAGCCCAAAGGTTGCAAAACACCTGATCTGCATTGAACTATGTATGCATCGGCAGCCTATCCCAGCTATCAACGCGGCCGAGGTGAAGGGGTCACCCACCTCCATGGAAACGTGCATTTGGGGAGAGCGATAGTGAAAGGAATCTCCAAGAGGAATTTAGCCATTATCACAGAAACAAAATCATTCAGGAGATTGTCCATTTAGCATTTCTTTCATAGCATTATTAACTCCCTAATATTCCGAATGCATTTTTTAAAATTTCATGGGTCTTTGTCTTTTCTGCTATAATGTAAGCTTTACAAAGATGGAGATCTTTGTGAATGAATAAGTGAGTTTTCATTTATACCTGTGAGCTGAGCTGCTCACGATGAATGAACTAGATAAGGAAATAAAGCTATTCTGATGCCTTATTTTCAGTCATGTTCAAGAAGTGTTTACTCCCACAGAGGGATGGGAAGAAATGCCGCTTTCCCATTTGAGGTCCTGCCCAGAGCTGTCATTGTCATTGTCACAGCTCAAGCCCACCCCACCCCCACCCCCAGTGACACCAAGGAGGGGCTCCTGCTGGGTCTTCTCTGGGCTTGTTTTACACCCACTCATCTATTCTCCAAACAGCAGGAAAATATATTTTTTAACTACATTAGACGTTCGCTTCTCTGCTTAACATCCTTCTTTGGTTTTCCACATATCTTCCAGATAAAACCTGAGCCCCTAACCGTGATCAGTTAGGATCACAAGTGGTCTGCCTTTCCCAGCCTACCGGCTGCGCTCTCCCCTGGCCCTGTGTGTCCACTCGCAGCCCGCACTTGGGCCACGTTTGTCCAGTAAATGAAAACTCTCCGACTCAGTGACTTAATCCCTGTGACTGATTACAACCGACATCAGAAAGTCAGCATCACCACGGGGGCGCTGTGTCTTTTGTCTCAGTGGAAATCATGTTGTCAGTGATTCTAATCTGCTGTCCTGGCAGTACACCGGACCTGTTACAACATGGACCTGAGTTTTTAGTCTAAAACCATATCCTGTTACTCCACTGTCTAGGCTCCAGTCGAGGCAAAATAGTTTAGTCAGTTAGGGACCTATGTGTTCCGCTTAGGAGTTGAAAAGAGAGAGAATTCATAGCACCTTCCAGCCCCACTCATACCCCACAAGCAGGTACACACAGCGCCCTCTTTCGCCATTTGTTCCGAAACCTGAAAAGCTGCCTTCCCGCAGGAATTCATTGTGTGTGTTTAGACGCAATGTCTAAACCTAGTTAGAGGAGGACCAATCGACTTTAAAGACCTGGACATGAGATTTTCTTTCTTTCATCAAGTCCATATTGATTCCGTGGTGGGCAGGACAGAAGAATCTATTTTCTTGTCCCTGGACCACTGCTTTTCTTCATTCTTCAGCCTTGCATTTTGCGTGTTAATTCAGGTCATTCGGTTTTGGAATGACCTCTGAAAAATCTATGCAGATCTGTGGTGATACGCATTTAGAAGCCAATCTCAAGAAAAGGGGTGGTTAGACTAGTTGGAGACCAGGAAGGCCCCAGGTTCCTGCGTCTGGTCCCTCCCTGTGTGGTCTGGGAACCCAGGCTCAGGCCCACTGCACTCATCGCTAGTGGCACCTTGCTGTCCAGGTGGGGACATAACTTCCCACGGCATTTGTGTGTTTCTGGAGCAGAGAATTCCATCAAGGGAGGCACGGAGATGGAAGGACCATCAGAACTTCGGAACAGTCTTAAAAAACACCAATTCTAAAATTACTCCTGCTTTGACTTTTTTAATCACGACGATTGATTGATGTTGAAATTTAAAGTATGGGGTTTTTATATTTATCAAAAGGAACACAGGGGGTTTTTCTTCCAATTTTTTTATTCTTTAAAAACACAGTTTATAACCTTGCTGGTAAGTCACCTGGGGCCGATGATGTCTGGGTGTGGAACTCCAGCTCCACAGACCATAATCTGTACATTTCAGAGTGGTGGTATTCTCTTTGCTGTTATTACTAAAGTTTACTGTTTATTGGCCACTTACTATTTGCCTGGGATCGTCTGAACATTGCAGTTGCGTTATCTTGTTTGGTCCTCACAACTGTCCTATGAGGCAGACGCTGTCATCACCCCCCCTTACAGGGAGCTGAACTGAGACTTCCAGCATCGAGCAAATTGCCCAAGGCCACGGAAACATGGGTTTTTAAACCTTAGAAACAGTATGTCAACAATGATGACTAAAGACAAGGTGCAGTGATTATTATTGACTCACACAGCAATGCTTCTTCCTCTTAGGAGTCACCGTTTGGGAGTTGATGACCTTTGGGTCCAAGCCTTACGACGGGATCCCCGCGAGTGAGATCTCAACCGTCCTGGAGAAGGGAGAACGCCTGCCTCAGCCGCCCATCTGCACCATCGACGTCTACATGATCATGGTCAAGTGTGAGTGGCCAGCTGCACCTGGCCCTGGGCTGCCCAGGCCTTCGACGCCCTGAAGACATGCTGTCACAGTCCGTAGGCAGGCACATCTGTAAACACCCCCTCAGACACTTCTGGAAGCACTTACCTGATGCACTGAGCGCTGTGAGCTGACGTTTTGCCCATGTTCACAAGCAAACAAGTAAAATCCAAGTCCTCCATAAGCCATTGCACCAAAATATTCTTCTGAGTTGCTCAGTGAAAAAGCTGCCCCACTTTTTGAAGCCTGTTACCAGAGAGACTGTTTTTAATTGCCTAACAATGAGTAACCACAAGAGGTTAACAGAATCGGCATTTCTGCTTTGACGTAAACCTTTTCAGATAGTGGATTTATGTGAGGCCTTCTGCAGTGTAGCAAGTAAACATTTTAGTCCAAGTAAGAGTGTGTAGCTGGATTGTGACACTACCGCGCCATCAGAATCACAAATTCAGTAGGCTCTGCGGGTAACATTACATGTATGATGAGCATTTATACAGAAGGTGGCACAGGGAATGTGGTAGAGTTAATGTAAATATTAAGCCTTTCTGAACTTTAGACCACAGAGTTAATCATTTTTAACGTCCTTGCTTTAGGTTGTGGAAGCTGGGATCCAGAGAGGTTACATGATTTGTGTAAGGTCACATAGCAGTCTGGCCCAAAATAGCTGGACATCCTGCTGATAGAAAATAAATAAGAACCCTCAGGAATCAGGAGGATTTCCAGTCAATAGCTGTTCCTCCAGCATGTTTAATCTAGACTTGGATCGTTGTGTACTCAAATGCACTGGCGTGGTTGACACGCGTATCCCCACCATGAAAGGCACTGAAGCATCCCTGTCATGTGCACATGTGATTGCTTCAGTGTATAATACAGTGAAAGCACCAGGGTGTGGAATTCCCAAACGCCGAGGTCCCTATTCCCAAACGCCGAAAGTCCCTATTTTCCCTAAACCGAATCTGGTTCCCAGCCTACTAGACTGCTGAGTGAATATGGATGAGGGTGAATGTCAAAGGAGGACTTTACTGAGAGACTTGGACTCAGGGCACCCTACAGTCCGAGCAGTTCACAGAAAGCAGTGCATACCATACAGCTGCTGGGTCACTTAAGGTGATGACACCAGAATGCTGGCCCTTGGAAGGGGAGGTGCAGAAAATTAGAGCATGTTATTGCCATTCTGACTCAAATATGTGATGTCATCGTGGTCTTTAAACAGTAATCAGTGCTGGTTTGCTAAGACTGAAAAACCTGTCACAGAGATTAGGTTTCGTCCTCGTTTATTTGTCTAAAAGAATCTCACCGTAAGTGCTTTCTTTCAGCGATGCCATCTTTATCACTTCTTTCAGGGTTCTAATTGCACTGACTTTCCTCCTTCCTTCCCCAGGCTGGATGATTGATGCAGATAGTCGCCCAAAGTTCCGTGAGTTGATCATTGAATTCTCCAAGATGGCCCGAGACCCCCAGCGCTACCTTGTCATCCAGGTACCAGATCCCAGTCTGCACACCCACTGGGAAAATCCGTCTAATAGGCATCAAATGTCACTGTGCTCCGTCCGGTGCCGACACAGCCTCCCTGTCTCGCAGGTCACACCATTAATCCTCAGTGCGTTAGAACAAGCGCAGCCCAAGCTGTGGACGAAGTGGAGTGCGCCGTGGGGCCCCCAGCTCCATCTGCCACCCCTGTGAGCCCCTCACACTCGGCTCATATCATGGTCCCCTTAGCCAAAGCCTTATGTTGCTCTCCCGGAAGACCAGGGCTTTGGTGTCGGGCAAACCTGGCTTCAGATCCCTGACTCTGTACTTACAACGTTAGGTTAACAAAACTAAGCTCGCAGAGCTGCTTTAAAGATTCAGTGAAATAATACATGCAAAACACTTTGCAAAAGACCTAAAGGTTCTGCTCAGCAGTCACAGGGTGCGTGTGTTGGAGGGGAGGGGCCCCGCACCACCAAGCAAGCAATTCTCCAGCACCAGCTGGTGTCCTTCAGTTCAGCTCGATCTGACACTGTCCACCTGGAGACAGCGTCAGATCCCACAGTCCTCCAGGGCCGCTTCCCCTCCCCCCAGTTCACATGCCTGTCCCAAGTCCAGGCTGTCACCTGGGCATCAGACCATCTGGCAGAAGGTTCCCACAACCCCCTCCTTGGGTTCCATTAATTTGCTAGAGTGGCTCTCAGAACTCAGAAAATCTTTTTACTTACTGGATCACTGGTTTACTATGGAAGGGTATAACTCAGGAACAGCCAGACAGAAGAGATGCACGGGGCAAGGCCTGGGGGAAGGGCGCAGTTTTCGTGCTGTCTGGGTGCACCACTCTCCCCAGATCTCCAGCGGTTCACCACCCCGAAGCTCTGAACCCTGTCCTTTCGGGTTTTTATGGAGGCTTCATTACATAGGCCTGAGTAAATCATCGGTCATTGGCAGTAGATTCGACCCCTAGTCCCCCTGCCCTCCCTGGAGGTTAGGGGCGAGACTGAAAGTTCCGACCGTGTGATCACATGGTTGTCTCCACTGGCCACCAGCCCCCATCTTTAGGTGCTTCCGGAAGTCTCCTGGTTAACGTAAGAGACACATAGGGAATTCCAGGGCTTTAGGAGCTCTGTGCCAGGAGCAGGGAAGACGACCAGACGTGTATTTCTCATTGTGCACAGCACAGCACTCAGTGAGTGCTGCGGCTTTGGCCCTTCCCTTTTCCTCCTGAGCTGTCTGCATTTCCTTTGAGGACTTTGAGACATCAGGGGATTTTCAGTGTCTTAGTTGCAGGTCCGGGGACGTGGAAGGAGGAGCCGTACTTCGCAGACCCGGGCAGGGGGAGGGGGGACGAGTGTATTAGGACTAAACTGGCAAACACACGAGCACCTGCTGCCAGCAGACCCGCCTCGACAGCCAGTGGGTGGAACAGCGGCTCTCCGGACCTTTCTAATGGTCTCACAATCTCTGTGCCAGGGGGACGAGAGGATGCACTTGCCAAGCCCCACGGACTCCAGCTTCTACCGCGCCCTGGTGGATGAAGAGGACATGCAGGATGTTGTGGATGCGGACGAGTACCTCATCCCCCAGCAGGGCTTCTTCCACAGCCCCGCCACCTCCCGGACGCCCCTCCTCAGTTCTCTGGTACCAAAGTCACTCTTGTTCAGGCTCTGCCTCCTGGTTTGAACCGGTTGAGCTTTAGCAAAAAATGATACCCGTCTTGTGGAACTCACGCAAAGAAGTAAACGCTAACCAGATGGTAAAGCCAAAATCAGAATGAAGCAATTCAGTGTATTAATTATCTTACTGCATTGCAACAACTGGATCATCCCCTTTTTTGGTCCACTGAGGAACAGCGTTAAATCAGAACTAAACCTAGTTTTTCTAAAGCTAATGAGTCAAGACGAAATCAAGCCCCTTTAACCGGGCCCACTCCCAGAGGGCCCCCCGTCCTGCTCTCAGTGGGGATGGGTGAGCGTCCACGTGCACCGTAAACAGCTGTGATTCTTTTTCAGAGCGCCACCAGCAACACGCCCACTGTGGCTTGCGGTGATAGAAACGGGGTAGGTATCAACTCCTATAAAGCAGAATTAAATAACAGCTCTGTACCATGGCTCTATTAGACATAAAAAATGCCCACCATAACCCAGAAAGCTGTGACAGCAGCATCATGCAGGTCATGGACCTGGCAGTTTGTTAGAAATGCGAACGGTCGGGCCAGCACCGCGCACCTGCTGACTCAGGATATGCGGGGAGGGGCCTGGCCGTCTGCGTGTGAGCCCACCTTCCAGGTGATGCTGTTGCTTGGTGTGTGAAGCCTTGATTAGACCCACACTCACCAGTGTAGCGGCCACCAGCCACATGTGGCTGCTTAAGTTACAATTTAAAATTCAGTTCCTCACACATGTGGTTAGTAGCTACCACGTGGACAAGCACAGATTACGGAACATGTCTGTCATTGCAGAAAGCCCTGCTGGACGGCCCTGGCCAGGGCCGTGCCACTTGCCCTGGGGTCTGTGGGCCGCCTGTGGGTGGTGCAGGTCCTCTCCCAGACCTGCTGAATCAGAATCTGCAGGTAAACGAGCTGATCCTGATACCCGCCGCCGAAGTGAGCGGCACTGGCTGGAGTAACCTTGCCTCATCTCCTCCCCAGCAGAGCTATCCCCTCCCTGAAGATAGCTTCTTGCAGCGGTACAGCTCCGACCCCACTGGCACCTTGACCGAGGACAGCATAGATGACGCCTTCCTTCCAGCGCCCGGTGAGTGCCTCACTCTGGAAGCAGCCATGCCCCTGAGCCCCCGTCCCCAGTGCCCCGGCCAGCTGCTGCTTTCAAGCTGGTCCGGAGGTGGGGCCCATGGCACGCGTGCAGACACGATGAATGGAGGAAGAGGCCGATCGACAGAAACCGCTAGGCATGCGCACGGGTCTCTGAGGGGCTCAAGGCGTGTCCAGGTTGTCTTTAGAATGAATCTGCACATTTTCTAGAATTTGAAGCAAACAGCAGATATACATGTGTGAGTGTGTGAGCATGTGTGAGTGGGTGTGTGACACATTTGATCTCTGTTCTGTCTCCTGGCTCCATTCTTGGCCTGTGAAACATGTATTTCCCTAATGTAAGCTTTATCCCCAGACACACACACACACACACACACACACACACACACACACTCAAGGGAGGCTGTCCTCTGAGGACTTAAAATTGGCAAAAGATAAACGTGCCCATTGCTTTGAGAAGGACAGAAAACAGCACAATTTATTTTAGCCAGAGAGTTGTCTCCCCAGGCTTCCCTGCTTCTGCCACCCGTTGCCTCATTGAAGAATATTCACGGCTTCAGAATGAGCCGTGGAATCCTGCTTAGGATGATGCTTTGCTGATTATGTCTGATTTCTTTTCAATTTCAGAATACATAAACCAGTCTATTCCCAAAAGGCCCGCGGGCTCTGTCCAGAACCCCGTCTATCACAATCAGCCTCTAAACCCGGCTCCAGGCAGAGACCCTCACTACCAGAATTCCCACAGCAATGCCGTGGACAGCCCTGAGTATCTCAACACCACCCGTCCCGCCTGCACCAACGGTGTGCTCGACGGCCCTGCCCTCTGGGCACAGAAAGGCGGTCACCAAATTAGCCTGGACAACCCTGACTACCAGCAGGCCTTCTTTCCCAAGGAAGCCAAGTCAAATGGCATCTTTAAGGGTTCTGCCGCTGAAAATGCAGAATACCTAAGGGTAGCACCAGCGGGCAGCGACCTTACCGGGGCCTGACCACGGAGAACGGCCTCAGCCCTAAAAATTCCAGCCCCTTCAGCCCCCAGGACCAAGCCACGGCAGCTACTCGGTCCCGTCAGCCATACTCACATTAACTCTTGGACCCATGGACTGGTTTGGCCACATCTGCCGTGATCAGCCCATCTTTCAGCCAACAAGTGCCCCCGACTTGGATGCACTTAGGGGAGTTGCAGGGACATTCCTTTGTCTTCAAACTGTGAGGCTTCCACAAAAGGCATCCAGAAAGAATGTTGTCCATTTGGGCAGAAGTTCACCTTTCAATGAGGTATATTTGAAAAACACTAAATATGTTTAAGGAGTTTTATTGCTTGGGGACCTCTGGGGTTTTGTCATTGATTTTGCTCTTAATGGGCTTGTCCAGTGAGGGACAATCTTGCTCGTAGCACCTGTGGCACTGAGTTGACCCAGGCCCACCTGTGACCAAGAAGCAAGGGTCAGTCTTCCAGCTAACACTTGATTCCACTGGCTCTGCTTGGAGGCTCTTCCACTGCAAGACAGTTGAATAACGAACCAGTCCTCTGGATCGTAAGCAGGCCCGATTGGTACTATATCAAATCACGGCAGGTGCAAGAGGATAAGCCACTTGGAACTCTTCCTGGGCAAGGAAGAAACAGGGGGGGTAGAATTCTTCCTCAGACTTACTTTTATATAAATGCCTCCATGGTACTTAACTCTCCATTGGTTGGCCAGTGTTTTCTAATGACAAGTATTAGATTTGTTTCTTCTCCATTCCACTGCTGTGAAATTCAGTATGCTTTCCCTGTCAGCAGGAGGGGACGGTTAACCAAGATCAGCTCATATTTGATTCGTCAGCATTCAGACCAGTTGCCTTTAATTGAGATGGAATGACAGTGCAAAAAGGAACAAATCCCCCAAATTTGAGTCTCAGAGGAAATACATCGAGTCCTTTGGGGGTCGGGGGACAGGCATGTATCGGGAGGGAGACTGCAAAAACGAAGCTGCTCTTACAACTTTTAGCTCCCCCGGACAAAAAAAAAAAAAAAATTTGTTCAAGCTACTCATGGAAGATAGTTTTCTTTTTATTTCACTTCCAGGCTTTTTTCCTCCAAGGGTACTTTGCCCCTCACTGGCAAGCGGCCCCGGAGCTCCTCCTTCCCTCGGTAAGCTGAAGGGTCCAGGCTCTGGGGCAGCTCTGCAGAAATGTCTCGCCCTCACCACCGCTGGCAAGCTTTAGAATAGAGACAGCAGTTTGTGTCGTGTGGAATTCAAGCAGTAAATATGAAATTTGACTTTGATGATACTGCCTTCATAACATCTATAGGCACGTGAGAAGAAGAAAACAATTTCCCTTTAAAATAACTCCCTGTAATTGGAGGACCTGCTGCTTAGGACACCAGCATTTTCTCACCTGTGTCCCCGCACCCTGACTGTTAACACACTTCTTTGTAGACAGTGTCATAAACACTCTTAGTCAACATCCACCTCAGCCAGGAAGAAGTGTTTCAGACAATATTTTCAGCCGCCCACATCCCACATACACGATTTTCCTTTAGCTTTTAAGTTATTTATTGACTCAGATGGATCAGGGCCCCAGTTTTGTTACCACAGTATTTTATCTTGTCTCGGTGGAAATATAAACTATATTCAATTCAATTCCATCACATCGTGTTCCAAATACCCCTGAACACCTTACCAGCCTGGCATAGGTACTGAAGATAAACAAACAGAACATAATCCGTGATTCCACGAAATTCACAATTTAGCGAAGAAAATCGACTCACAAACGCCAGCCTTAAAACGATATGACACATGCCAGATGTGACATGTCAGCCCAGCACCGTGACAGCACAAAGCAGGGAGTAAGGGGGACCGCGTGCTAGAGGAGCCATGGTGGAGTTGGGTTAAAAGACCCCCAGGGCGTCAGCCACTGGAAAATGGAAAGTGCATTCCCAGCAGAGGGAGCCTCAACCACGGAAGCATCTGCCACAGGAACCACTCATGCAGCCGGTCTACAGGCCCACTGCCCCTTCCGGCCTGGGAGTTACATTCCCCAAGGGCCCTTCGGGTCCGTCCCCACTGGGGATTTGAAAATGATTTGAGGAAAGATTAAACAACACCTCTTAAGAATCTGAAATTTTATGTCCTTGTCAGTAAACCACTTTCATTATTTATTCACCTCAGAACATAAATACTTTAGCCCACTATTTATCCAGCCCTGAGAAACAGAACGATTCACATTCTGCTGTCACCTATTTGTCAGGAAACAGATGGTGAGGGAGGACCACAGGGTACTAGTCCAATTGTAGCAGCAAAACCCTAGTATTTTTGTAATTTGAAATACTTCTATAACATAATAAAACAGCGAGAACTATTCAGCTTTTTTCTTCTTTGTATTTCAGTTTTCCTGCATAAAGTGTAGTTGCTAAATTCTCTTAAAGACTGTGTTTCCCAGAATGGTCTCACTATGTCTGTCCAAGGAGGTGCAGGGGGGGGCCTGTGGATGCTTCAGAGCCCAAGAGAGCCTGAGTCCAGTCCGGGGGTCCCTGGGAGGTCAGGAGGGGGGCTCCCAGGGCTCCAGGATTCCCACGTCGTGGCTCTGACTGGCCAGACCTCAGGGCTTAACGCTCACCCCTTTGGTTCCTCCTAGTTGACACGAGGCCCCGAGGTTCCACAGACAGCCTGTCTTCTGTTTCCTCCCCAGCCATCCCTGGAACCCTTCCCCACGGCTCAACTCCAGACCAGGCCTTTGGACACAGGTCAGGGGGAAGTAAGAGGCTAACATTTACAGCTGACCCTTGAACAACATGGGTGCGGGTCCCCTTAGGCGTGGATATTTTCACTAGTGAACATGACAGTTCTACATGAGCCCCAGTTGGCTGAATCCTCAGATAAAGAACCAGAGGCTCCAGAGCGCCGACTTACTGAAGTTACTGGCGGGTCCACTGCTCAGAGGGTCAGCCCCCCAACCTGAGTCATTCCAGGGTCAGCTGTCCAGTGGGCCCTACACACATCTTCTCACATAATCTTTAAGGAATCCCTGTGGTCACAATCTACGAAAAATGGTTCTGTCACCTCAGGAAGACAGAGATGAATCTTCCAAACTCTAGGTTTGCTCTGGTCCAAGTTGTCACTGACTCTACAGCTAGGAGCACAGTGGTGGAGACAGCAGGTTGCATTCCAGCTGACGATAAGGCTTAAGTATTTGTTGAAAGTTCTTAATTTTGAGTTTTAGCCCTCCCCCGCCCCCATTGCAGACAGACATGAACCATGAATTGCAGAAGCACAAAGGTCGTGGTTCTCAGGCTGGCTGCCCTTGAGAGTCTCCTGGGTCCCAACCAAAAAGGGTCTGAATTTGTCTCAGGTGCAGCCTGGGCCCAGGGATTTTCAGAGCTCCCCCAGGTGACCCTAATGAGCACCAGAGTTTGGGAAGCAGCCGTGTAAAGGAAAGGCTCTGCAGGGGAGACTCAGCCTTGGGCCGACGGCCTCCCGCTCACGGCGCGCTCAGCGTGTAGGATGCGGCTGCTCGGTTTCAGTGACACAGTTCTCACCGTTGCTGCCCACCAGGACCGCCTGTGAGCTCAAAAGGACCAATTGAATGGGAATTCCTCGGGCTCCCATGTGATTGTAATGGGCAACCAGGGTTGAAACCCTCATCTCTAAGGTCACCTTCCCTTGTACAAACCTAGGCGTCTACACCGTGCCAAGTCAGGGCAGAATCAGAGAAACTGTGTGTGTGGAAGAGATTCCTGAGGCAGGGCCAGAACGACCCCACAGTCCCTGGTGTGCCTGGAGACTCAGCCACTGGTGGCCGTTCCAGAAGCCTCTAATTCCTTGTCACCAGCAGCTGATCCTGAAAGTGGCAGATACCCAAATCTGAGCCTTGAGAAAGCCCTGAACAGTTTCATTTTCTAAGAAGTATTAGAAAAATCCATCTCCTGCTGCAGGGAATGAGCTGCTCACCCAAAGCGACAGCTGTTGAAATTGCCCTTAACATCTACTCTGCACTTCTTTCCTGGTGACGAGCACATTATTACAACATAATGATCTGTGGTTTTTCTTTGCTGGGGCTGTAAAACCTTAGTGAATAGAAACCCCTACCTCTATCACCAATCACACCGGCTGTATCAGGAGCACAGATTTTTTACTATTAAAGACACATTCCAACAAGATTTTTAAATGTAAGCCTATTTTTGTAACTTTTTTCAGCACTGAACTTTGTAAGGTATATTTATAGGAAAACTCACTTTTCTACTAAAAGAAATAGCTTACTTTAGAAAGACTGCAAGAGAATTAAAATTTGAAACTGAAATTTTTGTTTAAAGGGATTTGACTGAAACAAGAGAAGATTCTCTTCTCTCTCATAAAAAGGCACAACATCATTGCAGAGCTAGGCTAGGTCGTTGTCCTGATGAAGAGGAGACTCGTTTTTATATCTATAAAGTGAGAAAAAGGTGGAAAGCACATTTAGTCTCTTGGTCTGAAGCAGGTTCATTTGACTCTGGGGCAATTCAGTGGGAAAGAATCACTGTTACAACTAATACACAACTTCAGCTGCATGCCGTACTCCACCCATCTGCCAACGGGACCCTGTAAATGTGAGAAAAACAATAGCGGGGCACTTTGTTGGTTTCTCTATCCCAATCTGACTTTGATGCAAAGTATTTTATTTTTGTATTTACAATTGATATGCAATTACAATATAGACTAGAAATACCAGCAGAGCCCTAATAATGTTTAGCATGTTTGATGAATGCCACCAACGGTCTTCCAAACTAAGCCATTCCCGCACCTTAGGGATGGGGTTCTCAACGCCGGCAGCACAGTGAAATCGAGGGGGGAGCTCTTGAAAATCTTGAGGCCCAGCCGCGCCTCAGGCCAGTGAACCCCAGGATTTATACTTTGTAAAGCTCCTAAAATCATTCTGATGTTCAGCCAAGGCTGAGAACCACCTGCCTAGGGATAAGCACAGGTGTATGGGCTTGCAGGCAGATTCTGCAGTTGTAGACACCTGAGGATTGAGAGAAGTCCCAAGCACAAAGACCCCCCCCCCACCAGCATCGGACTTCCCTGGTGGTGCAGTGGTTAAGAATCCACCTGCCAGTGCAGGGGGCATGGGTTCGAGCCCTGGTCCGGGAAGATCCCACATACTGTGGAGCACCTAAGCCCATGCACCACAACTACTGAGCCTGCGCTCTAGAGCCCCTGCTCGGCAACAAGAGAAGCCACCGCAATGAGAAACCTCCGCACCGCAACTAAGAGTAACCCCCGCTCGCCACAACTAGAGAAAACCTGTGCGCAGCAACAAAGACCCAACACAGCCAAAAGTAAATAAATTATTTTTTTAAAAATCCCAGCATCACTAGCTGAGCGTCAGGAACCTGGCTGGACAGGGAGGGTCCAGGGCACGTGCCCAAGCACTAGAGGGGAGAGGGCCAAAAGGAAATACAGAACAGACCCCTTTTTTCCATGTCTTCCATTAAAAGTG